TTTGTCATGCAGATATTGAGCAAAATCCTCGGCCCTCCCCTCCAGGGGATCCCCCCCCTCAGTTGAAGGAGGGAGCGGGTCACCCTGAAGAGGGCAGCCGGGCGATTATCTGATGACGCGATGAGTGAGGAATAGTAGTTAGTCCTAGCCACCCTCATCGCCACTAGGTAGGATCTAACATGTATCCTTACCTGTGTTCAGTTGGATTCGGTTCGGCTGGCCCTCCAACTGCTCTCTAGGCGTCTTTTCCGACGTTTCATCTCTCTCAGCTCCCCGGTGAACCAGGGAGCCAGTCGAGATCTACGTCGGGTCAGAGGCCGCAAAGGCACGACTCGGTCCAATGCTGCGGCAGCAGTTGTCTCCCAAGCCGCCGCCTGATTTTCCGCCGAGTCGTGGACCAGATCCTCCGGATATGGCCCAAGCTCCGTCAGGAACCTCTCTGGGTCCATCAGTCGCCTGGGACGGAACCATCTCGGCGGTTCCGTCTCCCTGCGGCGGGGGGGAGCGGTCCGGAAGTCCATCCTTAGGAGAGAATGATCTGACCATGACAAGGGCTCAACAGCTATTTCCCCTATTATATCTGTATACCACCACAATCCTAAAACAGTGAAGTCATTGCCACTTAAAATGCATTACAAACTGTCAATCACAGCCACGCCGCCCTATTATAGACTAACACAGGTAGTCCTTGACTTATAACGGTAACGGAGCTTGCCGTTACATCAGTCATAAAGCGGCTCATCGTTGAGACTTACTCAATTTTACGACCTTTTTGTGGCAGTGGCCACTAAGCAAATCCATGGTCATGAAGGGAATGCCATGGTCATTAAGCTAACCCAGGGGTGTGGCTGAGGAATTCTGGGAGTTGAAGTCCACAAGTCTTAAAGTTGCCAAGTTTGAAGACCCCTGAGCTAACCAATTGTGGACTATGGCTCATTTTTGCAGAAAACCACAAGCAAGCGCTGGTTTTCATCAAAAAATGTTGTAAATCATGGTCAGGTGCCCGTGGGATGCACCCAACATCTGTAAATGCAGGCCAGCTGTTGAAATGAAATGTGATTGTATTGGGGGGAGGGCAGCCATCAGAATGTCAGAACTGGAGTGTAAGTAATTTGGGAGGGTCTGTCCTAACTCAGAATGGTGCTAAGTCATAAGTCAAGGACTACCTATACCCCTTATGCCAGGGGTCTTCAAACTTGGCCCTTTTATGACTTGTGGACTTCAACTCCCAGAATTCCTTAGCCAGGCACGCTGGCTGAGGAATTCTGGGAGTTGAAGTCCACAAGTCATGAAGGGCCATAGTTCCATCATGCTGGCTGAGGAATTCTGGGAGTTGAAGTCCACAAATCATAAAAGGGCCAAGTTTGAAGACCCCTGCCTTATGCTCTTACCGAAGACTTCTCTTACCTTCTGGGAGCCGCGAAGCAGCGCCAGGAGAACCCGACAGACGGGCAGCAGGACCAGGCTGCAGTTGAGATTAAGAACAGCAGCTGAGGCTCGGCTGAGGCACAACCCTAGCTGAACAGAAGTGAAAAGGGGTTAGGATCCCAACCTCCAAAATATTCTGATCTGAAACAAACATGCGTTGGGATGGTACTGGCTGCTAATGGGTTCACTTTACGTCATTGTGATTAATTTTTTTTATTGGATTTTTCTTAACCGTGGATGTTTTCACATGTTAGTGAAGGTATTATGAGAATGTCATATCACCAGGGATTCCCCAAGAAGGAAGTGTTGTGTACATCTGATAGTCCGACAGACAGAGACAAACAGTGAGCCAGTTTGGTCTAGTCCAGGGGTAAGCAACCTCGGCTCTTTTATGACTCGTG